CTTCGAACTCCAGGCCCTTGGTGTCTGTTTAAGTCCATAAGTGACTTAATGAGTTTGTAGACGTGATTAGGACATGTTGGATCAACAAAAACCTGTAGTTGCTTTATGTAAGCCTCTTCCTGCAAGACTCCATGTAGAAAGACATTTTTAATATCCAATTGCTTCAACTCCCAATGATTAATTGTAGCTACAACAAGGATAATTCTCATTGTTGTATGCCTTATCATTGGACTAAATGTCTCAAAGTAATCCACTCCATGTTCCTTAGAAAACCCTTGAGCTACTAACCTTGCTTTGTGCCTTGAAATGCTACCATCTGGATTCTTCTTCACCTTATATACCCATTTACTTTCAACAACAGACCTATCACTAGGTTTTGGAACCAAAATCCAAGTGCCTTGTGCTATAAGGGAATCATATTCCTTTTACATAGCATTTTGCCATTATGACATTCCTGCAGCTTTTCTAAAACTATATGGTTCTTTAGCATCAGTGGTCTCAATAACATATGAAAAACCTCCAAAAAATAGCCCATAATCATCAATCTCTAATGATAGTAATTCAGGAAATCTTGCTAGAAATGCTGCATAATTCTTCTTTTCAATTGCTCCACTTTTCAATCTTGTAATCATTGTATGCTGAGAAACTGAATCTTGCATAGGTACGTTAATCTTAGAATGAAAATGTGTTTGTGGTGATAGCGGAAGAATCACCTCTATTTATGAATTGTGGTGGATAGGCATCAAAAGTGATATGTTTGTTGTGAATTGGAGTGATGATGATGGGGGTTTGAAGTTGAAGATGAATTTTGTATATCTGATGAACTCAAACCATTATTAGTCATTAACTGTATTTCTGTATCTGATATTGAACTTATCTTTGACTGATGCTGAGTTGCAGCACTTGATATTGCTTATAAGTAAGTTTTATGATGCACAAAATTATTTGATAACTCCACAGAAGAAGTAACAATAGGAATTGGTAACTGTATAACAATTGGAACCTGCCTTGTATTTTGTAATACTGATGATACTTTTGATTCTTGAATACCAGAGTTCATGTATGCAAAAATTTCTTCATCATATATAATGTGTCTAGACAATATTAGTCTTTTATTCTGTAAATCATAACAAATTGATTTCTTCATCATATATAATGTGTCTAGACAATATTAGTCTTTTATTCTGTAAATCATAACAAATTGCTCATTTGTACCCTAATGCATAATCAAGAAATATGCATTAAGAAGATCTTGATTGCAATTTATTCACATTGTATAGCCTTGAAAAATGATGTATATCAATTACAAAAACTTTAAAGTTATACACCTTATGAACTTTTCTTAAACCTAACTGATATGGAGATTTAAACTCAAATTCTTGCATGACATTCTATTTATTAACAAGGCAACATGAGAACATGCATGATACCAAACATTTAAGGTAAATTGGCTTCTGTCTTCAATGCGATTGCAGTTTCCACTATACGTCTATGTTTCCTTTCAGCAATGCCATTTTGCTGGGAAGTATAGGGACAAGATTTCATATGTACAATTCCTTTATTTGCCCAAAAGATAGGAAAAGCATCTGATTTATTCAACATTGGAAATATCCACATAAATCTTGAATATTCATCAACAAATCTTATGTAAAACCCATACCATTCTATAGATTGTTTTGGAGCTGGTCCCCATACGTCAGAGTGTATCTTTTCAAAAAAAAAGAACCAGCACTACTTTGTCTAATATGAAAAGACTGCCTACTCATTGTCCCTTCAATACATGAAGAACAAATAGACTGACAAGAATCTTTACTAACTAAGATGTTGGAATCCTTTAACATTGTAGCTAACACCTCCTCAGATGGATGTCTCAGCCTTTGATGCTAAACATCAGTCTTTATTTTCTTCCCCAAGAATGCAGCACACCTACTCAGCTTTGAAGCAAAAGAATTTGCAAACACATTTAATGGAATGTTGAACAGTTCTCCACCATCACTCATTCCTTGATACAAAATCACCCTTGATGCTTTGTCCTGTACAAAGAAATCCACATCATTATAGATAAACCAACAATTATTGTCCTTACATAATTTCTTGAAAAATAGTAAATTTCCAGTAATTTAAGGTACATATAAAATATTATTCAAAATCAAGGCATTATGAGGTGTAACAAGAGTAGTATAACCGATGTGTTTTACTTTCAGAACTTCACCATTGCCAACAATTATTTTCTCATCTCCATTGTAAGGATTAACATTGGATATAGCATTAAGATTGACAGTCATATGATGTGTGGCCCTTGTGTCCACTATCCATGCTTCTCCATTGGATAATTCATGAATTGGAACATTCTGTGACTCAATATGAACATGTGCAATCATTGTAGTGAGAGAGCTTGGTGGTGGATTACCTTGATATGATAAATTGTTTCTATGATAACACTAAAGTGTTATGTGACCTCTTTTTCCACATATATGACAAACAACAAAGCCTACTATAGAAATAGAACCATTATCTGTCATGTGAAAACAATTGGGTGTAGTGTGTCCTCTTCTTGAACAAATATGACATTCTGGTGAAATTGCAGACATGTAGTTTGTATTCTCATTCCAATTATTTTCCTTATGAGAACCATTTCTAGAGAACTACTGAGTATTATTACCTGAGAAGCTATTGCCATAAGAAGTTTGAGAACTTTTTCCATTACCAGAGAAATTACCATTACTTCCATTGCTTGTCTTATTTCCAAAATTACTAGAAAATGATCTTGAGTTACTATAATTTCCCCCATTGTAATTGCCTCTGTGTTGTTTTGAAAAGATCTATTTTTATTCTCCATATAACCTGAACCACCTTGAAATCTAGTAAGATCCCCTTCATAGCCTCCTTGATTTCTTTGTGAATTCGAGCTCTCTCCATGCTCATACCCTTGATATCCTCCTTGAAATCATTGGGAATTAGACCCTTCTCCATTAACATATATTGTTGCCATTGAGGTATTAAGAGATGTCAATCTTGATTCAATGCTTGCTTTAACTCCAAGAAGTTGAGCCCTGAAATCTTTTAAAGACATAGACGAGTCTTTTGCAAGAATAACAATGTGAATCACCTCAAACTCAGTAGGTAAACCAGATAAGGTAACAATAATGAAATCATTATCTGTAACTTTTTCACCAGCAGATACAAGTTGATCTTTTATGCCATTAAGTCTCAAAAGAAATTTATCCACTGATTCCCCACCTTTCTATGCAGTATGGAATTCTGTTTTCAATTAATTAATCCTTAGCCTAGACATTGAAGCAAATATGTCTTGTAAGCAACTCCAGGCCTCTTAAGATGTTTTGCAACCAACCACAAGATCTATGGCATCATTTGACAAAGTAGCTGTAAGAAGACTAAGGAAGGCCAAATCTTTCTTCACCAAATCTTTATAAACACCAGTGTCTGTATTGATAACAAACTTAGGAGGACAAGGAGATTCACCAATGAAGAAATCAAAAAGATCATAGCCCCTAAGCACTAATTGAAATTGGTAACTCTACTTGACAAAATTATCTTTCTGTAAGCATTCCTAGCAAACCCTCGATTCTAACAGAAGATTCGGCCATTGTATTAATATCCCAGATGCAAAATTTGATCAAGAAACTACTTATCCCAATGAACAATCTTGTGAAATCAAGAATAGCTTATCCCACCGAAAGATTAATAAATCATTGAATGGCTATCAGTCTTTCTAACAAGAAAATCAAATTACTCAATGGTAATCGGCCTATCTGACTATACTATCAAATTTCTTCAATGAAGGAATGGCTATCGTCCTTAAAACCATCACAAACCATGGTTATCAGCCTCAAACTTTGACATATTACTACCGATTTCCTTACAGACACATTCAGTCAAACAGTTTATGTGCACTTGTGGAAAGTTAAGATCAAGAACCTGAAGCAACAACAAATCTTGCCCAAACTAAGAAAAACTAGCAATTATCATACCATCAGCAAGTAATTACACAGCAAAATTGGCATTGAGGATCGATCGGCTTAGATACCATCATAACATAAGTGCAGAGGTTTGTAGAGAAGCAAAAGTAAACCAGAAAACTATGAATTAAGAAAGAAACGAAGAGAGAGAATGAAATGAAAGATTATATATTGCTCAAGTGATTACAATGAATGATTTACACTTGTTGTATAGGCCTAGAGAACCTATCTTGCATTGGAAGAAAATAGTTTTATCCATTCTAACAACTTTTAACAATTCTAACTAACTGTTGCAACAGTTCTTAACCAACTGCCACATCAATATTAACTAATTGCCAGGTCAGCAATCTCTCAACCAGCTTGTCTTGGTCAATATAGACCTAGTATAGTTTCATATATTCCAAAGCATCCTAGTATACCAGCTCAGAGAAAAGGAATTCGTGTAGGAGCACACGAGTCACAAAGCACAACCAGATTTGGTAGTACATAACAAGAATGCCATGATATTAACTCAATTCCTTAAATTTTCTCTTCTTTTCATTCCACCTAACTATCCATTCTTCTTATTTGAAAATTTCAAGCCCCAATTCAATTTTTTTTTTTTTGGTTTCCTTTTTCTTTCTCGGGACCATTAACGATCCAAGAAGTCTAAACTCTTCCCCCAATTCATCATTTACTACAAACCTTAACCTTTCATTATTACCCTCAACCGCCCCCCACCTTCACACCTCTTCACCACTCGACGGACTCCCCTATATAAACCATGCACAACCCATTCAAGGTCTCGTTCACAGAAAGTAAAACCACCAAGAGAGAGAGATAGTTGCAAAAGATAGAGATGTGGCATGTCATTTTGGTGCTTGCTTTTTCATCAGCGCTACTGTGTGCAACTAGTGCACACAAGGTGCCTGGTGATGATGGTCATGGAAGCACAACCGATCAACATACAATGGTTGTGCATGCAAGTAATGGCAGAGTTACCAGAAGTGCATCTTTGGCAGCGTTGGTAGGTTTGCAGGGATGAGAGGTTTTGCTAGAGTTGGCGGAGTAATGCCGGTTCTCGGTGGAATTGGTGGAGGGATTGGGAAAGTTGGTGGAATAGGAGTAGGAGGTATTGGTGGTAGTGCTGGTGGTCTTAGTGGAGTTGGCGGATTAGGCGGAGCTGATGGCTCTGGTGGTCTTGGTGGTGCTAGTGGTGGCGTTGGTGGTGCTGCTGGCGATGGCGTTGGTGGTGCTGCTGGCGATGGCGTTGGTGGTGGAGTTGGTGGCCTTCTTCCACATCCTTGATCATTTTTGGTTTAGGGTTTCATGACTTTGCATGCATGCATACATGCATGGCTAGTAGCTATCCAATTAGTAGAATGGTCTTTTTTTCTAAATTAGTGGTTGGTCCTTGTTTGAAGTTTCGACTTTTTGTTATATTATCGGTTTCTAGCTACTAGTGGTGATTGTTGGTTTGTCTCTATGACATGCACCAATCTTATGGTTGTATCTGCTATTCATTCTAGTGTTTTCTACTTATGGTTAATGAAATTAATCTTTTTTCTTGAAATTATATATTATTTCGAATCTAGTCCATTAATTTTAAAAGGAAATCATGGTACCAACTCCAATATAATACTTCAAACCGGTTTTTTTTATTTTTGTCATGAGCTAAATGCCAGGCAAGTGATCATTATTCTCAAAATATCAAAGAGTAATGCTATTCATACCATGTTTTTGTACCACATTTTCATACCATCTTAGTGACATTTGAGTTGAACAAGGTACATCATTTAATTTCAATCTTTTTATTAATTAAAACACTTCAATAATCTTAGGTGAAAGAATGAGATTCCTCGTATACCACAATCATCATTTAATTAATAATTTTTTTTATTAATTATTGATTAACATTGTGATTAAATGCTAATCATATACCACAATCATCATTTAATTAACAATCTTTTTATTAATTATTGATTAACATTTTGATTAAATGCTAATTAATTTAGATGATGTGGCTGTTCAACTCATTTGCCACTTAAGATGATAAAAAAATGTGGTATAAAATTGTGGTAAGAATAACATTATTGAATATGAGCCAAAATATTGAAGTTAAGCAGTTGTACACTTCAATGTCATCTCATGTCTTGTTGGCTTTACATTAATTAATTTTTGCTAGATTTACATTAATTAATTAATTTGTGGAGGAAATTATGATTTGAAACAAATTTAATTGATCTGGATTACTGAAGAAGGATGATAGAGATTTTTCTAGGTTCGAGTTCTAGGTCCCAAGACTCACATCTGAACTATGATTTTCCTGCGTTCGTGTTCTAGGTTCAAAGACTCGCATCTTCTCATAGTTCAAATAAATTTAATGTAAATTATTTATTATTTTTTCGGATTTAAATTTTCCCACCTCTCCGTACTTTAGAGGAATTTAGGATATATTAATATCATTTGTGAAAAAGAAAATCTGAAATTAATTGGTCTCAACTCATTTGTCAAGGTCTCTTCATCTTGGCAGTGCTGCTGACATTAATATTTATGGATCTATACTGAGCTTCCATTGGCATGGATACCACCTGTACGGCTTGTACATGCCATGCAGCAGTCTGTGTGTCTGTGTTACTGTAAACTAACAAGATCAGATCACTTTACACTGGAGTAGGATTCTCTCCTCTTTTTTTTTTTTTTTTTCGTCCCTTCTTATTTGAACGGTCACGGTTAAACTACGTCAACATCTTATATTAATTTTTTATAAAAAAAAAAGACAAAATTTGAGAATGTGAGAGATGAGGATAGAAGATAATCCTAATCCCTTTACATTTCTCTATCAAATAGTTTAAACATTGATAATTAATGATTGATGGTACTTTTCCCTTTAAAAACGTTTAAACAGTAATTTAAAGTACAATAGAGAAAAATACCTAAAAAAGTACAAAGTAATTCAAATATGTAGAATTATAATAGAGAAAAAACATTTGAAGAAAGTCTTAGATTCGATTATCGCTAAAGACGAATTTGAACCACATTATTGGTAACTCATTGTGAGACTTAGCCCATCTTTTTAGTGTAAATAATATTATTTGTTCAAAAAAGTTGTATTTTCTTTTAAAAAATGCTAGGGGAGTCACTTTGTACCACTTATTCAAAATGAAATCGGACCATTTTTGGACCTTAACTCTAATAAAACAAAAGTACAATGTAGTCTCTCAAAATATAGTCTATCTCGCATTATTTTTTTCATTTTTTAAAATAAGCTCAAGGCAACTCTATGTATAGCTGTAGTTAGGTTGTTATTTACATTAAATAATTTCCAAGTGAGGGTGTCTTAATTAGTTAAAAATAATGTAAACATTCTTCCTAAACTATATTATAGATCATTCTTCAAGTGTCATTCATGAAAAAGAAAAAAAAATCAACTATGTATGAATGTTTGGTGATCATTAGAAAGGAACTGATAATTAATCATGTGAAAGAAAGTTAAAATTTGATTGATTTTTCGCTTGGCTGCTTATTAAAACCTGAAAAATGGAAAATGTTGGATACCATTTTTGGGATAGGATGTTCGGATTTTTCTATATACGAACATCTCACTCAAAGCCAATTACCTTGATCGGGTGGTAAAAACTTCAATTCCTAACATCTTCTGTCAAAGTTTTTTTTTATTTTTTTTATTTTTTTAATACATCAATATTTTTACACTAATGGGAATGAGAGTTCGGCTAAGCCACACAATGAGCATCCTAATTTGGTATCAAATTCTTCATCCATGAGATTCCAACCTAAAGCCTCTCACTTTCAAGTGAAGAGGAATACCACTAAACCGTTGTACTAAGTAGCTTCTCTCAAAGTTAATTACTTTGAATCGGGTGGTAGAAAGTTCAATTACTTCAAGTTCTACCTCATATTGTCATAAATACATAGAATGGGGGAGTATGCGCTTTACGACAACCATACGAGTTCAGATGATGCCATATGCCAGAGTGCCAAATTTCTTCCCAACTATGTATCAGTTATTTAAACCAAATTTCATACATATCGTAAAATATGAAGAAATAGAATAGTGTTATTCACATATTTCTTTTTACTTTCCACACATTCTATATTAATTTTTATCATTTGATCATCTTCAATTCATCTGATCAAACGGTCAAAAATTGAAATGTGTATGAAAAGTAAAAAGAGTGTATAAATAGCACCACTCATTTAATAAATATATGATACTTTTCTTAGAACCTTTCGGTTAACTAAGCTAATCAAAACGCCGTTTTTCTGCTCTATTGTCAATATTCAAGTACGCACTTGCCTTGAATGTTCTTTTTCTAGGAAAAATGACAATGGTCCTGTAGGTTGTAACGTGCTATGAGCAGATTTCCTGCATATTGCATCGTATTAGCCATGCTAGCAGATCATGGTCATTGGTAGTGATTGACTGTAACGCCTGCCACCTCAAAAATTCAATAAACAGGGTGTCACAATTCTCAATGACCAGTTTCATTTTCTATATAAACAAACCTTCGACAGTCCGTTTTTCTATATTTATATGATAATATAATTACACTAAGTCGTGGAGATAAATTAGTATCGAATTTGTCATTTATGAGATTCGAACTTAAGAACTTTCACTTACAAGTGAAACGTAGTACTGTATGACAAACATACATACTATTTAAATATACAAAATCAACCATATTGCTAACACTTTCTGAAACAAATGAGTTCGACATATAATGATAAAAACCAAAGTTAAAAAACTTGTGTTGGTAACGTGATCAATTTTGTATGTCTAAAGAATATTATGTTATTTTAAATTTGCCGCATATGGTGAGTCATGACTTCGGTTTCCATACTGCTTCCTCCTATATAGAGAGCTCATGCGTACCATGCAGGCAACGACCCAACTTTTAATTAGATCGGGTTGAGACTAATGGGCATGGCTCGTATACTAATGATCTATGTGACCTTTTTTCTTTTCATAGGCTTGGCCTTCTCTGACGGCCCTCCACTGCCTCCTAATATACCAACTCCTACGCTGTCTCCTCCTATTGGAAGCGGTGGAGGACAGGGTGGTGGTGGTGGGAGCTGTGCCGGTCGAGGAAGTGAAGGCTCAGGTTATGGTTATGGCAGTGGGTATGGCCATGGAACCAATGGTGGTGGAGGAGGTGCTGGCGGAGGTGGTGGAGCTGGTAGAGCCGGTGGTACTGGCTCTGGCTTTGGAGGTGGAGCTGGTTTTGGTGGTGGCAGTCCTAGGAAATTAATTAGACAGGAAGAGTTCACTAGGCTATTGAGATGTTATGTGTTTGCTTCTAAAGTTCTAGCTACTTGAAAGTACTGTGTGGGTGTACCGCTGTTTCTAGTTAGGCTCCTACATATGCCATAGTGAATAAAGTTATTCCAACTATATATGCAGCTTTTTCCATATATGTAATCACTCTATTTGTGTTACTACTTTTCCAAGTTGATTTCATGTGTGTACTATATTTATGAAGTTGTGTTTGTCGATTAGAGAATTCCTTTATTATAAACATCACTATTAAACATCTTTTTCTCTCTAAAAACAATAAATTTTGAACAATGACACGAAGAAATCGCGCTCCAGCATTGTTATATAAGACATATTCTAAAAAACACAACAACAAGATATTAAGATCACAAATATATAATGAATGAAATCAATATAATAGAGATGTAACTTATCTGTAAAATACAGAGAAAGGTTGGTGTTGGAGAACTCATAATTATCTTCTACTCTCTACGATCTAAAATACCTTGTTAGTGAATAGGGGTTTAGCATTGGAATAGTACGCGTATTGTGAAAGAATAGACAGTGCTTATATAGCTACTGTGATATCTCTCGAAAAAAACGTATTATTAAATGAGATATACTTATAATGACAATCATATATTTTATATCCTAACATTATGTGCGGGGATAAAATTGTCCAGCCCCACTCTTTCTTCTATTTACCTTCTTCTCTATTCGCCTCTCCTCTCTCTTCAACCATTTTTCTAGGGAGAATATAAACAATCATAGCAATTGTGTCTAGCCCTATTTTTGCAGCTACTGGGCTATACCCAACCGTTTAAAATTGAACTCCAATGGATGGTGAAAAGGACTTGCTGGTAGTAGAGGTGATGAGATTGATCCATTGGCCTCCATCTTCCAACTTCTTCAATCTTTTATCGAAGTATGCTGAGACCTAGCTAGAAAAGAAATAAAAAATACTGTAGAAGTCAAACTCATGGGTTTGCCAAAGATGCCACCATGTGAAATGGAATTAGAGATTGCAGACAACGTAACTGAGGAATCGGCCTTGAGAGTGTGAGAGAAGGGTGGCTCGTTGGGAGAAAAGACATGGGAAGGACCTTGAATGCTGGTTTGCTAACAACGAGTTCGAGAAGAGAGAAAGTTGGCTTTAAGAATATATATAAGGAGGGAAATGTGCTGGACATTTTATCTTGACGTCTAACGGAAAGTTAATGAAAACCTCGCTTTTGAATTAAATTTACTAATAATTTTTACAACGAGAGTTTTAAATCTTAATTTGTTTACCATATGAACTATCTTCCAAACAAGACCGTTAATCCAATTTTACCCTAAACAATTAACAACAAACTCATTGATTATGAGTGGAATGAGCTGCCCCTTCTTCAACTCGGCCCCTTTAAGAATGGACCCATATACGATAAAGTCCATAAGCAAAGCCCAATTATTTAGCTTTAGTCCATACACCAAAAGGCCCATAGTCTCAATATTCGTTTTATATTTAAAATAACTGAGAATACAGTCCTCTGCGCCAGCTGTTTGGCTTTTCTTTTCAAAAAGGCGGGAAACAAAAATTCAGTAGCAGAGAGAGAGACAGAGATGGAAGGAGGGAGCTCAAGCAGCGAATTGCGGAGCATAGAAGACGCCATTAGATCCTCGGATGTAAGCAATTCCAGTTTTCCATTTCCCAATTTCACTGAATTCAATTTTAACCTTAGGGTTTCAATTTTCTAGTTCGTTCTCGTTTCTCTCACTCTCAGCTTTTGGTCCTGCACTGTTCATCTAGGGTTTTCATAGTAGCGTGACGAAAATTTGATCTCGATTTTTATAAAATCGTTAAATATTTTCAATTTCTTTGGGAAATATTGAATAGTTATTATTTTGTGTGCATTAATTTAAGAATTTGATGAGGTTACCTTTGTTTTTATTTTTTGAGTTCACGTTTTTACTATTTATTTAACGTTGATTGAAAATTTTGTGTTCTGCAGGTAGTGGAGAATCGTATTGAACTGCTCGGGAAGCTTGGTGAGTTGAACATTACAGAGAAATCTGAATTGGCATCCCTTGCGAAATGTCTCACAGTATCCAATTCAATGCTCTTTACATTTTATTAATAATATGTTTCGTTTAATTTATATCATATTTCGTTCGATGTTTAACAATTATGAAATGATTGCGATGGAGATGTAAATTTTCGTTTTAAAGGACCTTTACTTTTCAGGCACATTGCATACTCATTTGTTGACCCAAATTCAGAGAGAATCTGAGGAATGATTTTTATAATGTCCGCTGGAGGTTTTTGTTATCGATATTGCTGCATAAACATTGTTATGGGTTTATGACAAGAGCTTTGGCATGTGATCGATTACTTTTTCAATGCGTCTATGATGGCCTGTATGTTTTGTTTCATGCAATGTTGTAGGACATGAAATTGCTAAGAGATACAAATGGTCGTAGTTCGATTTGCAATCTTCTCATGACCAGTTCGCCATATTTTGTATTTGTTCATTGTTATTCTTAACAACAAGCTTGACATTTTGGGAGGAGTATACTTGCTTGGATGTAAGCCAGTGCATGTTAAACAAGGCTATATTACACGTGGCTGTAAAACACCTAGAATCTGACATATCCAACGCTCTAGCACATTTCCTTGCCCTTGGGACCAAGGTAATATGCCTTTTCATGCAGTGTGCTTGTATTAAAAGCAAGGGTGTACTATTCTTATTCCTTAATGGGACCAGGGTATCTAAAATTCTAACTTTTTGAGGATTATTTATCTGTCAGGCTACCATATGGTGTGGTAAACACCTAAAAATGACTCTTATGTCGAGTGTGGAGTCTCAAGAGGAAGAGCACGACAATCTGTTCTTTGAGGTATAGAATAGTAGAGACTGTCAATTTTCTTTGTGCTTGCAGAAAGAAAAACATCCTTTGTCTTAACCTGAATACTAATTTGACAGATTTCTATACTTGGAGACTTCTCCCTAGTTAAAAATGATTGGAAAATTTTGTCTTGGAATGTCTACAAGTAGCTTCCATTTTGCTCTTGAACCAAGCCATACCTTTTATTCGAGGCTGCATATGGTGTTTATTTCTTTAATGGGCTTAGTTCTGAAGTTCATTGATGCGTTGTCATGTGCAACTTTTCACTCTTTTTGTTGCTGGTATTTCCCATGACAGATGTTAGTACGTACACAAGAAAATTAAGTAGCACATGCATGACCTGCTTACATCATCTGTCTGCTGCATGGCGCACCAACTGTCCTGTAAAAATTCAGTTTTCTTCTTCTTGTACTTATTTTGCAGCTGCTTCTGGATCTTCTGAGCTTCTCTGGTGTTAGTTTCTCAGCTTTGGCAAGATTTCCTGTTTCTACTGACAAGCTGTCAATGGATATTGTTGAGAAATTCTTAGTGGAACAGTTAAAATTGATTAAAGATTCAATAACAGAGATTAAGGTACTTATTAATTGCACTGTGTTTCCTGTGCTAATCTTTATGATAATTTATTCTAATATAAGTACCTTAGTTTATCTACTAGAAATATGTTATGTACTAATTTGTTTTCAAAGAGGTCACGACTTCGTGACGCTAAAAAACGATTAATGAAAAGGATGTCTTCAAATTTTTCTTTTTGACATTTTTGAATTGGATATTACTTGATAAATATTTTCTTTGTGGAATGAGTTTTCGTAATAGCCTAAGAAATGGTTTGCCAAATCCAATACTGCTAAGTACTTCGTGAGTCAGGAGTCAGGACTAGAGAATTTCTGATGTTTAATACAAGGAAAGAAGCTAAGATTAACATTAAGACAACAATGAAGTGCCTGGGAATTTTGACTGGGTATTAGAGTGTTGAATGTATCTTATAGCTTGTGAGTTCGGCTCAAATATACCTAGGGATTCCATAAATAATTTTACATAGCTATTTGTCTGTTAGAAATATCTTGTTCTTTAAGTTCCGAAACTACTTAAACTTACCTTGAATTATCCGCTCTCCATAACAGACAGAGAAACCTGTTATATTTATTCAAATGGACCCTGTGCTTTTAAAATGGGTCATACGGTATTTTGTTATCTTTGGATCTGTTAATAATTCATCCCCCACTCATATCTGACCCAGTCTTATGGTTTCTCACTAACTTGTGCAAATTGGAGGCACATTGAGCACTTGTGCACAACTGATGCATATCAAGTCTAGGGCACATTTTCAGTAACTGTTTAAATGGCAATTTGACAAATGTGGGACCAAAGTTTCATGACTAAACAATTCAAGCGCAAAAAAGTTGTGCTCGTATATTGTTATTTATGGAAAACTTGTACATATGTTGTGAGTGAGTTTGATGTTCGTCTTTGAACTTCTGATATGAGGGAGGAGAATCCTTCTTGGCTGCCTTAATTTCCTTCACTGGCATGTGACTTACATGTTGGTGTAATATATATTTACGTTTTATTGAACCTAATTATTATATATTTTAGAACACTGCTCACGTCTCACATGAGCCTTTCTAACATCTAAATGCAGAGAATTGAGCCATTTGAATCTGTAGGAAAGGTCACGTTGGAGGTCATTGATGCTGTAATAAGACTATGTGGAACATATGCTCGAGTTGTAAATTGGGAGTCTTGGGAAGAAAAGCTTGAGAGGGACAAAAGTGGAACGCACTTTGAAGGGGTCAGTAACATGAATCACGTTATTACTGTTATAAAGTATACAATAGAAAAATTGTGTGAGATAGGCGTTGCTGCTGCTAATAATGGAGGCAGTCTGGTAAAGGTTCTCAATTTTACATGGAAAGGTGTAGTCAGTCTACTTCAGCTTGGTGAGGGGGTATTCGCAACAAAGGTGAATGTAGCTGATATAGTTTCAAATCTAATCTCATTGGTCAATGAATCTTTAAAATGTGCAGCTGAGGCTTGGTCATCATCTTTGAATGACTCCATTTCCGTGACAGAAGCTAGGAAGACATTTCTTCCAATAAAGTTTTATCTGATTAATGCAATAAAAATATCTACCCTGTATCCGTGTCAAGCACATCTGGTACAAAGGGAGATAACAAATT